GAGGGTCAGAGGTTCAGGGTAAAGGAACTTTCCCAGGGACACATAGATGATGACTGATTTGGGTGTGAGCCAGGGTATATCTAATTCCAAAACCCATTTGCATTCTTGAAGGTATGGCTGACTGCCACAGAGTAGCCCAGTGCTATGATCTGATAACCCAACATTCAATGGGTCCAAACACTGGCTCACTGCTTCTAAGAGTCAAGATGGGCTGTCAATGCAATCTTTTCCAACTTGGCATTCCTTGCACCCACAAGCAAATGACCAGACAGAAACCTGAGGCAGTGGCCAAAATGGCTTCCACGAAGACGGGACCCATGGCCACAGCTGCACGTGTCAGTGTGCCAACTAGTCCCTCTGAGCAGGCTGGTTCACATTACCAGTCACACCATGTAGATCAAAGAGGTGGCATAACAGATGGAGGCAGTTTTCCAACTCTTCTATCTATATGCAAAAGAAAGAATTACTTACAAACAAAATGAAAAATTTTATTGGGAAAAAAAGTCTCATCTGCCTTTAACATGAGACATTCAACTTGGTTACCTAAGAAAATATTTAAAGGCCTTGCCTGAAGTAAAAAGAATACAAGTTGATCCTGGCCGATGAAATGTTAATGGCTTTTCCTTAAGTATTAATCTATTGAACAGATGCTAAGAGGGAAAGCTGTAGACAAATGAATGCTACCACAGTAATGATTTACATGTCCTACTGCTGCTGATCTTATTTGATTCTGGGTAAATGATTAAAGCAAACCTCAGGTCCCAAGGAGAAGTGCATCAGAATAAATAGGCATCAGCAGAAACGATAGAAAAAATATATTTTATATATAATATATACTATAAATATAAAAATATAAATATATTTTTATATATAATATAAATCACAAGGAAACTATGGAGTCTTTTTTCCTCGCTTTCTCTAAAGATTATCTCTCTCTGTTTGGGAAACAAACCCATTTAAACTCCATTTTTTTCCTCACATAAAAACTAAACTGCAGACTCAGAGACCCTAGGAAATCAATACCCCATCTTGTAAATGTGAACATTCTAGATTTCAAGAGGTTAAATGACTTGTTGAGTGATTTATATTCATAACAAATGCCATCAATATTCCAACTCAGTGGGGAGGGGTCTGGTCTGAAATGAGAGGACCTGGGCCCTACTTCTCATTCAGCCATGACTGAGTCTGTAAGACCTCAGTGTTGGATTAGCTGGTTTTGAAAAATCCTTTCCCCCTTGAAGAGGCTATCATTCTCTGTCCTGAGCACCTGCTGTTTACTGTTGGTTGTCTTTATAAACTCAATCACTTTCTCATCTCAAGAGTCAGATTTTGGGGCTGGAAAGATGGCTGTTACTAAAGTACTAGCCTTGCAGAAGGACCTGACTTTGATCCTTAGGACACATGCTAAAATAAAATAGCCAGGTACAGCAAAGATTGCTTGTAAACCCAGTTCTAGGGAGGAGGAGACAGATGGATCCCTGGGGCTAGCTAGCCTGGCAGCCAGTCCATTAGGCAAGCTCCAAGCCAGTGGGAGAGTGGCACCTGAGGATTGATACTCTAGGTTGTTTTCTGCCCTACACACACACACACACACACACACACACACACACACAGGAACATGTACACTCCACATGTACACACTGCTTCATCTGCAAAGTATTACAGATGGCCATGGCTATGTAGCTATTACATTAAATAACACTTTGTTATTTAACACAGTTTGGCATCTGGGTGCTCAGTATATGGAAGCTACCTTTAATATCAACCCAAAGAACCCACTGATGGTGTCTTCATGGACTGTAAGGAATTTCCTTCTCTGGGCAAGTAGAGCCCACGTGGTGCCAAGATCTCATTGTCTAGGGCTATGTATCTGGCTTTAAAAAAAAAAAGAAAAGAAAAAGAACCCTTTCCCATTCTCTCACTGAGAGTGGGAGTCCATCACACTGTGCTTGCTATGGTGTAGGTCTAGAAAGCTATTCAGAGGAGGCCAACCTACATGCCAGGAACACTTGTACTTCTTCCCTCTTTCTATCTTTGCCTGGGATATCTGTGGTCCACTGAGATCATAAGGGTAGGGAAATACTTGTTCTCTGAGCCAATAAATAAGTAACACCAGTGACCATTCACCTCCAAACTTGTCTCTGCTACCATGGTTCACAACACAGTTCCTAACCAGCACATCCTCAAAACACACTGCTCCTTTTCTGTCACATATAGGACTGCCTAGTCAGCCCCTTCCTCTTGACTACCTATGAGTACCAAGAAAGATTCCCTTTAGATTTTTGCAAAAATGTCCAAACTCTATTCAAAGGCCTTGCCACTCACAGTGGGGCCAACGGCCAATATTGGTGTCACTATCTAGGCCCATTCTGGACATACTGAGTCAGAACTGCATTTTAAAGGGATCCGCAGTGATTTCCAAATACAAGGTCTGGGGCTCTGGACTTAACTTTCAGGTTCTGCTCTCTGTCTTTGACTTTCATGTTGTCCACGTTGACTTTCAATTTGCCATCCTCCTGATTCTGATTCAGTTTTCTGGGTGCTGAGACCACAGGTACACACCACCACAAGGATTTTGTTATCCCTCTTAACCCCTGCTGGCAGAATAACTCTGCTTATCACAGCTCTCCTCATACCCTCTTCTTCTCCAGCACTGTTTGAGATCCCTTTTCTGTCACAGGCTAAGATCTGACTCTGTGATGGGATCTTAGGAATGCCAATCAAAAGACCCATTGTGCATGTAGTTTTTTTCTTTTTTTTTTTTTTTTTTAATGAGTATATCTGAAAGACAACACAGCCCTTAATTCTGGTATTACCATGCTAAGCCATGAGGATAGTGATAGATGCGTGCCCATGCATGCGCATGCGCACACATTCACATGCATGCACACACACACATGCACAATATTTAGGGACTAGTTAGATGGACAGAAATAAAAGAATATTTTGAAAAGAAATAAAAACAGATGATAGAAACAGTTAAGTGCCAGGAAGCAGATGAACAGAAGCTGGTGACAGAAAGGTAGCCAGGCTGCCCCAAAAACCTTAAATAAAAGGGCCTGTTTGTGACAGCTGGTGCAGACACAGTGGGCCCAGCAGGATCAAAGGTGTTTAAGGACCAAACCATAGGACTGGCCATTTCAGACTAACCCAGGAAAAGGATAGCCCAGGAAAGTCAGGCATCACTTAAGGAAAACGCCTCGTTCCTTTCTGTGGTACACGTTTGGCTCAGGTTCCTCTTAAGAGTTAGAAAGCAAAGCATGCTTCAGGATCCCTCAAAGTCCAGTCCTGGAAATAGGACTAAGTGAAATTGAGAATCCAGTTGGGCTACTTCCTGGCTCTGGACTCCCTTGCCCTCTAAACCTAGGCTTCCTGGTGTACCTGATGGGTTTTGGACCACGAGCAACTTTGCAGTTGTTGCTGGGGGGTGGGGGTGGCAGGGGATGCTCGTCCCCAGCAGGCTGCCGCCCACATCAGGCTTCATCTGGGTATTGGTGTTCTGTGATTACCCCGTTATGTTGCTGCCCATCGTTACCAGCTTTCCAACAGAAGGTTCATCCGAGACATTCCTGCCTCCTCTTCCCCCAGGCCTCCCAGACCCTGCCACCCCAGGCCACCGTGTCCCCAGCTCCCGGCCATAGTGAC